TTTTTTGTATGTAGGCGCCGCCCCCCGAGACTTACCCCCCTCCCCCACCCCCCCCCTTCCCGCTGTGGAAAGGTCAAAAAAAACACCCAAACAAAAAATTTATTTTTTGTTTTTTAAAAAAAAAAATTTTCTTTTACCCCCCCCCCCCCCCCCGATGGGTTGATTTTTGTGATGCCTTATCACGAGGTCAGCGGTATCACGTTGCACGTTTTTCAAGATGGCGGACAATTACCATGTTTTGTTCATGTCATTTTGATAGACTATTTGTTGATCAAGTGAAATGGAAAGAAACTCTGATATTATCATCGGACTTTAACAAATAAAGTTTTGATAAGAAGCAATGTGCGAATTTTTAATCTTTAGCACCCAAAAAAGGTACGAAAAGCAGAAAAATTTTGGCAACTTTTCGGCAACTTTTTGAAAAAAATAGCAACTTTTTGGCAACTTTTAGACACTTTTATCGGCAACTTTTTTGGGATTCATCGGCAACTTGTGGCCAAGCCTACAACCGTCAAAATTGGAAGCAAAATTAACCGTAACCGTCAACCGTCATAGCTACCACCCCATTGACGGAGACTCTTTTATGGCCAAGACAACTAGCTATAACTTGTATCTTGCAAAAACCAACGTAGGAAATGACGAGTTGGCAAGACAGGCAGGCGCATTAATTAATCTTGCCCGCTCGGGTGATAGTCTCTCGGCGTTTGCAGCTCGGTCAATCCTGGACTCTATCATGAGCTGTGACGTCGTCACCGAGAGGGGACACGCCCGCTCTTTCCCAGACTTCGCGCGGACAAACGGTCTCGCGGCCATTTCCTTCCCCTGAAAGAAACTAAATTAGGGAGAGCTGCAAAACGGTGCACTTTTGTGACTCCCATTTTGTCCCATAATGGCTCTTGTTAGGACCCATTTAGCCTCGTTCAAAAAGTTTTTCGTTGGCGTTTAATTTTCGTTTAATTTTTCTTTTCGAAGTCTTAAATAAATGCTAAAGAACTTCTGCTTGTAGCAGTGCTCCTATATTTCAAGTCTAAAATTATGCTAACAATTATACTTGTTTTTGTAACACTCATTTTTGCAAAAAAAAATGCAGATTAATATGAAGATGAAAAAAAGTAGAAGTATAATTTCTGCATTTTTTTTTTGCAAAAATGAGTGTTACAAAAACAAGTATAATTGTTAGCATAATTTTAGACTTGAAATATATAAGCACTGCTAAAAATCTCAGTTACACAGCTTGTGGCAATGTGTTCAGATATGACGTCATAAATTTATCGATACCTTCAGAGGAGTCTGGAAACGAGAATGAAAATAACAAACAGCAACAAACATGGCGGCGATGAGACTGCGGCTGATAATGTGAAGGTAAGTTTCTTTTTACGTTGATTTCTGATTTGTATTTAAATCATTCGGTTTTGTGGATAGTCAATCACGACACAAATTCTATGAAAATCATTTCCAAACGCATCATTAGTCTCTCATTTTGTGACAGTCATTCATTTATCCTTGTGACGTACAGCTGATGATTTTGTTATTTTCAACCTGCGTTTAATAATTTGTGATTATCGTTTTGTTTTCGACACTTTGCAAGAAAGAAAAAGCGTTTGATTTGACTATAGTTTAAAGTGGCCATCGCTTTGGACCATCGATCCAACTAAGGTCGACCATAATCTGCTTTTGTATTATTTTTCGGCGGTGAATGCTGTTTCTTATTTGCAGGCTGTAAACAAGAAATAAGCCGATGTTTGTAAATAATGGATCAATACTTCGATCTCTTTCTGGGTCTTTTTTAAGTGTATAAGGACTTAACCTTTAAGCTCGTGACGCCATTCAATCAACATTACCTTGGTGATCACCAAATGTTACAGCTCTCGTTCAGCGAATATTGTTGAATATCAAATAATGTTGAATGCTAAAAAAAGACCATTCAACGATTTGAATATTGTTGAACGAGAATATAGATGATTTCTAGCCTATTCAACAACAATTTTCAACAACGGCTGATCCTTTAAAAGTGTTTTTTTTTCTACTCGTTTAATAACCTGCAACCAAGTTTTTGTAGAGCCATAAATGCAGCGTGAGACAATGATGAACCATTGGTCATTAAATTTTCTTTTCATTTTTTGTACCTCATGTTTGTGAACCCCTGCTTCTAAGATTAAAATACTTGATAATTCAAAATAAATGTAATATAATCTCATTAACATTTCCCAGCACTTTGCTTTCTTAAAATGATATAGGAAGTCCTTATTAGACACATTAAACAGAGGCTTTTTTTGGAGGAGAATTATCTGTGCAGGCTAAATCTCTTTTTAAGAAGCTGAAAACTTTTGAGTTCCTGTAAAATAATAAAAATGAAGCAATATGGCAAGATTTTAACTTTGGTTGGGTGGGTGAGTGGGTGGGGGAGGGGTGGTACTTCTGGGAATTCTTGGTAGGGATTTGCCATCTGGTTCTCCAAATCCTGACCCTATTTCAGGCCCAAAAAATGTCATTTTCCACACCTATTTTCAGACCCAGCCTGTAAAATCCATACCCATTTTCATACCTGGCTTCTACTAAGATTAGAACACCACCAAAAAGATTTCTTAAAATCCATTTTGAATTCACATAAATTATCATTTTTTCCTTCTTATTCATTTGGAATTGAAACAACAAATACTTTCATACACTCCTGTAGTTCCCACGAAAACCATATAATTTATTTGATTCCAGATCAAAATGGGCAAATTCTCTACCTGTTTTCAGCCCGAAAGGGCCCAAAAACCATAAGCTTTGCAGTGGAACATACAAATATGACTTATATAAGGGAGCACCCTCCCCCGCTTGATCACACCAGTAATGGATAATAATGATCATCTGTTATCTAGTAAATTAATTTTCCTGTACATACTATGCATACATTGCAGCGGATGCAGACTAGCTTCATCATCTGTCATGGGTCAGAGATACACACTGTTCTTCACAGCTCGTGAAGGGCGTGAAGATGACCTGCGATGGGCCCTGTTTGACAGAAAAATCTCTCCTGATCTGCGTGAACCAGATACCAAGCAGACAGCTTTGCATCTGGCTGCTGCAAAAGGACGTCTGGGCTGTGTCAAACTGTTGATTGAGGCTGGTGAGTATTTAGCATAGTTATACTGAATGTATTTCCTCTCTGAACCCCAACTAAAATTCATCTTGAATGGGAAGATCTAAAAGAATGGTTGTCTAGTATGCAACCTTCCTTGAAGAGCCAGAGGCAAATTCATGTAGTAGGAACAAGGAAAAATCTGATCAGGCAAATTGTTGACACAGAAAAGTATACCTAGTAATTTTTTTTGTCCACTTTCTGCCCCTGGGCCAATAAGAATAGGCAACCAACAAAATAAATTTGTGTTGTAAAACAGTAAGTTGATTGTAAATAAGCCTGCAAACATTAAATTTAATACATGGCGGTTTATAAAATTAAGGTGTTGTGAAAAATTTACTTCTGTCCAAACTGCTTGGGCATGTTGCCTGAGTACTGTACTCATTGTGAGTTAGTGGAAACCCACCCTTTTTTCAAGAACCCACCACAGAATTTGGGTATGGTGATGGTGATCAATTAATGTCAGGACATTGTCTTCGGCAGTAAAGTAGATTCCGACTACCTGTGGGCACATGATTTCTGTTAGCACTGAGGCAACCCTTTGCTTTGCATAACCAACGACCTCCTGCTACACTCAAATTTCAAAATGGCACCTTACAGGGGTGTTAACTCAATGCCATCTTGTCCCTGTACCTGAGCACTAGGGCAGCAAGTGAGAACAGCCCCTACATATTCGCTGCTAAAAGAAGCATGATTTACACTGGTTTAATGATGTACTAATTGTATAATTTCACAGGAGCAAAACCCAATGTACAGGAAAAGGATGGTCTGACCCCTCTTCATCTTGCTGTTTACCATGGCCATGCTAGCTGCGTCAAATGTCTCATTGAACATGGAGCAGATGTAAACAGCACATCAAGGTGGTTAATATAACATTTATGACGTGGAGAAAAAAAGTGTGGTACTACATGTATGTGTGTCTGCCTGGGACTGGGGAAATTTAATTTACCTGACACATTTTGATTTTTGTCAAATAGTTAAATAATTTAACTATTTTAACTATTTGTAGATGTTTGACTTTTAGAGAAATAATTATTATTTCTTGAAAAGTCGGACAGCTATAAAGGAGTGCCTAAAGCCAAACTTATTCAGGGAATGGTAAGAATACACTCTGTTAATTAAAACTAATTAAGATGGATCAGTTTCTGGTTAAGTGAACATCTAGGTTTAAACACAAATACTTTTCACAAAGAGGGTGTTAATATTTTCGTGAATAACAATGTCATTTATGCTGAAGAGAGTGTTCTATACCGTCATTGTTTCTTAGACTCTGCTTGGTTTTCAGCTCTCAACGTGCTGTTATACTAAGGGCTCTACCTTTTTTCAAAATTGTCGCAAGTCTTAATCATACCACTTACAAGTAGGTTCACTTGAATCTTAAAAATGTTGTTGACTTGTGAACTTAAAGTTGATACGTATACTTGACATTCAAGTTCATAGCTGAGCATTTCAAAAATAAATTGTTATGTTTCTGAGTTAAAATCAGGTAAAGCATAAATCAGGGGTGTTTCGTTAGGTCAAACTGTTGCCATGGTGACTTGAAAGCTAATAAAAAATTACCACAACTGTTTCGTTAACAATACATTTTGCTGTCCTCTTTTTCCCTTCTGTTGTGCTGTATAAGCTCACTGATATTACGTCATTCAGGGCAGATTCAGGGTCTGCAGTGTTATTTGACTGCTCCCTTCTTTATCAGGTTTGGCAGCACTCCACTTCATCAAGCAGCGTACTTTGGTCACTTTGATTGCGCCGCAGTGTTACTAGCATCTGGAGCATTAGCTAATGTGGAGGAAGCCTGGGGCCAAACTCCACTGTTTTTAGCATCACAGAGGGCTCACAGGTTTGTTAAATAGTATTATTGATGTGTAAGGTTTTCGTGAGTTCAAAGGTTCAGGCCTAGGGGGTATTTTAGGAATTTTTGGGTGTGGATGTGCTGCTTCACTTAGGTTAGTATGTGACGGGACAGGGTGAGATGGGGCAGGGGTGGATCTAGGGGGAGGGTGCAGGGGGTGCACACCCCCCCTCCCTGAAATGACGTGCGGTTTTCTAATACAACTGGTATTCTGCAAAAAAAAAAAACTATGTGGTTTATTGGTGTTGAAGTAGAGCAAGAGACGAGTGCACCCCCTCCTACAAAAAATCCCGGATGCATTTCAGGGCTGTCGTAAAGAGCCGGGAGCCAGGGATTATCCCCAACTACTGTGAATGTGACCTCTGGCTAATTTTATTGGAAAATAGAAGAAAAATAGAACCAAAAGAAATCCCTAGCAGTTTGATTCCACGCCTACTTGTTGTATGTACTCAGCAACTCAAAATCTTAGTGACAACCCTGCATTTACACCCCATTCTGACTCAGTAGCCACACTTTGTTATGGTAGGATGCATCACAGTATACTAAACAATAATAAACAATAATTAATTATTACTCCATGAGTGCTCTTTGGATATGAGATGGTAGATAGCCAACAAGGCCTAAATCGCCGAGTTGGCTATAATCATCTCATACCCAACAAACGCGCGTGGAATAATAATTGTTTTATTAAAAATGCCCATAAAATATTGAGAATACTTCCGACTTTATTTGTAAAAACAACCAATTTTCAGCTTGTTTTTAATTTTGAGCAGACGCATACAGATACCATATTTGGAGAGCATGGTATAATGGCTCATATACCATGATGGCTAAGCCAATCAGAGCTCAAGAATTGCATCCAATGATTCAGTTTGTAATAAGAGCTGAAATATTACAGTCCTCTCTGTATTAAGACAGTTCAAGCAGCAAGGACTGGATGGGTGTTGGCCAAGTTTACTAAGGTTTAGCCTGATTCTCAGATATCTGAGGTTGATCCCCCACCCACCCCCTTTGCTTCTCTCCCTCTCCCAGAAGTGACCTTGAACAAACATCTGAGAATCAGGCTCCCTGAGGTTATCAAGCTGAACTGTTGTTCAGACATTTGGCTAGTTGAGACCCCCAAGAGCAGTGCCCAAGGTAGAAGTGTCTGTTACGTGAGAGTTCATATCTTTGCGCAACCCATATCACAAAGAGAGACTTTTTAACTTTCTTCACTTTTTATATTTCAGTGATGTTGCCAGGCTTTTGTTGCAATATTGTGCATTTGTAAACCAGACTGACAGAGCTCATTATAAGACAGCTTTGCACGTGGCTTGTGAAGCCCAGAGTGTTGCTTGTGTGCAGTACCTACTTGATGCAGGAGCAGATCCTAATGTTCAAGCAGAACATGGCCGCACACCACTTCACTTAGGTTAGTATGTGAGTGGATAGGGTGGGATGGGGAGCATTTACACCCAGTTCTGACCCGTTGGTTAACCTTTGTCGATCTCAAGGAAAGTTGAATGATGATGGTGATGATAAGGTGATGATCAGATAAAGAGCCTACATAACATGAAAATGAAGACATGATCATCGCAGTGAACGCAATTATGCAATTGCGTAAAGAAGCCTGAAAAAAAAAAATTCAGGACTTCAATGGGGTTTGAACCCGTGACCCCGCGATACCGGTGCGATGCTCTACCAACTGAGCTATGAAGCCACTGATGTTGGGAGCAGGGCTGAATTGGTCTAATGTGTATAGCTACCCCTATACAGAGAAATAAAGAAACAGATTAGGCTCCAAGGGGGATCATTTCATCTCTCTGCCATTTTGTCTTTTTGTTGAACCGAAGACGAAGCCCATTTTCAGACTGGCTTTGCCACAGGCAGCCCAATAATTATTATTATGTGCTTAACAGAACGCAGCGGTTGTATATCTTTTTTTGTTGCTCTTTATTAAAGTTCTCAGGGGAGAAGAGTCAGGGCCTTTAACACAACTTCTCCTTGAGTATGGAGCACGATGTGACATCATGGATGACAATGGTAATTCGGCAGAGACTGTTGTTCAGTCGTTAATGACGAGATATGGAAACACTTCAAATGTGGAGCTGTGTAGGTCTTATCAACGGCTGTTAGAGCTGCTCTGGGAAAGTCAAGGTGAGATTTCACTCAAAGAAAGACCTTTTTGTGATAATTGATTTAGATATAATTATATGGCCAATTTTTTTTGTGTTTATGAGTTTAGGCCAATATCTAGCTATCTTGACCAAAAACAGCTTGGTGAATAAAGGATTTATTGTAAATTGTAATTGTCATTTGTTTACCCATGGATCACTAAGAAGTTCATAAGAACTCGTTGAAACGTGTCCGCATGTTCCATATTGAATTGGAATTTGAAAGTGTTAGCTTTTAAGGAGAGGGGAAAAATAGAGTACCCGGAGCAAGGGAGAGAACCAACAACAAACTCAACCCACATATGGCGTCGCCGCCAGGATCCGAACCCGGGCCACATTGGTCGGAAGCGAGTGCTCTTACCACTGCCGCCACCCTTGCTTTATTAACCCATTAAGTCCCAAAAGTGACCAACATTAATTTTCTCCTAACAATATCCAAACATTGTCAAGAGATTGGGTTATGAGAATTAATAAAATGATCACCTAAGAGAAAATGCTTTGATCTTTTATCAAATTCTCTCAACTCATTCTTTAAGGAAATGTATAGAGATCAGTTTGGAGAATTTGTATGTGGATATTGGGAGAATTTCCCAATTACCGGTTTGTCTCTCTACCCAGGTAGACGAGCCCATCGGTTATTCTTGTGTCCTAAGTGAAGAGAACGGAGGAGTGCCTAAGTCGAAATACTGTTACGTCTTATGACAACGAGATATATTAGTTCTTTGGGGTTCTCTAAGCTAATAAAGATGACTGGCATGAATTTAAAAGAGTTAGCAAATGTCTTTCTTGTTTTTTTCTTTCTTTACTCAGCACTCATTGTGCAAATCCCGCTTTTCCAGCTCTTCCTGTGAGCTTGGTTTGTTATATTTTCCTGCCATTATATTAAATTCCCTCCAAGTACCTACATGTGTTTCGTAAAATTTCGGTTTGTTGTCATATTTTTTTAACATAAATAATTTCTATTTCATTATTTTGCAGTGAAGCCTAAAAGCTTGAAACGCCTCTGTCGTCTTGCAATCCGCAAGATGCTCTCACCATGCTCTCTGGAGTTTGTAAATTCTCTAAGCATTCCTTTTTGCCTCAAAATGTATATTCTTCACATAGTGGAAACAGGACGGTGGCAAAAATGATAATTCATGACAAATCATTATAATATTATTGTACAGTCAAATAATATTTATTCACTGGGCATAATACTTAAGTTCTCTCTGGATCTATAAAATATATTGCTAAGCTAGCCTATGTGTACATTACCTTCAGCTCTTAATATTGCAGTTAATTTTTTATTTTAGCTAGATTTTGTTTTTCTTTTGTTTTTGGGGTATGTTAATGTATGCTAATGAAGTTAAAGCAAAAGAAAAATAAAAATTACCTGAGATAAAAAAAAACAACAACAACAAAGCACAACTGCATCAATGTAAGAAACTGAAAAAGTGAATTGGCACAAGCTTCTAAAGAATAGTCAACTATCATCACTTTTGTTTTCTCTTCCTTGAAAATCAGCAAGTGATCTATGCTGTTTGAAAACAGGCACTCTGTCTCAGAACTGTCTGATATAGCCTGTGAGCTATATCTGACATTTAATGGAAACCCTAAAAGATTTGTTTGTCAAAACGGAAGAATGAACCTGAAAAGGGGTTAAGGATAGTTTCATAGCATTGAGATTAACATGGATAATAAACTAGAAACGTGAAAAATGTAGGCTAAATGTGTTGATGGTGCTGAAACTGTGATGAAGTTTATTTAAGAAGCTGAAACAATATCATATGTCTACTGTAAAGTTAAGAAGGCATCATTTGAATCTTTAACTGGCTTAAGCAATAAGGGGGTTAATATCTGAGGATTTTACTAATTGAAAAATTGAGTGTATCAATGGATGGGAAAATGTCCTGGTTAGAGGGTCAGAATGTATTGGGTGTAAAATACATGAAGGGTTTTCCTTTCAAAATGTGTTGTAAGTACTGTAATTAAGGTTACAGGAAATAAACTAGCTGTTAAAAAGGACAAGGATTTGGCAGTGTGTGTCGTAAAAAATGTGTATGATGTAAAATTTTTCTTTGTCAACTGACCCTGATGACAGTTCACCAAGGTGCGCACTCAAATGAAGCGGAAAAGATTGTGCCTGCAGAAGTGACCAGTTTCTTAATCGCCTTCCTAATGCAAAACACGTAAAGGTGGGGGGGGGGGGGGGAGGGGGGGAATTAGGACTGAGCTAACTTAGGGGCCCTTCCATTAAAAGACGTGTTGTTTGTCTTCCTCCGGGTGGTTTGAACGTTGGGTGGGGTGGTCCCAGGGTAGATCATTTTTTTCATCAAACTTGGGTCTTTAAGGGCCGGAAAA